GTGTGTGGCGGGTTGAGGGAGAAGGGGGTGGGTGTGTGTGTGTGTGTGTGTATGTGTGTGTGTGTGTGGGGGGGGGGGGGGGGGGGGGCATTTACATCATATTTGAACATGCATAATTGCAAGTCGCTGACCTAGTAAGCTGAAGTTCTGAGGGAATGTAAATAGAGGCTATACAAAACCATATGGTTACAACTCACCTGCGGTCACAGAGTTGCTTGAAGCTTCACAACAAAACAGCTTTCCTCATTCCTTTCAGCCTAAGCGTACGTACCTGCTCATGCCAACATATGACAGGCTAGATTTTTAGTCTGATAACAAAGAGGATCTTTTCCATTCTCGTCCTTTGGAATAGAGACACTTGAATGTTCCATACTTCTCCTCTGTTTCAGCTTCCAACAACGGTTTGGTCTGACGTCAATACCAGACACGACATCTAATATGGCTCTTTGGTATGCGACGGTCGCGGAATTTGTAAGATATATACCCAAACAAAATATCGGTATCTATGTTGCAAACGTGTGTGTGTTTGTGTGCGCGCGCGTGTGTGTGTGTGTGTGTGTGTGTGTGTGTGTGTGTGTGTGTGTGTGTGTGTGTGTGTGTGTGTGTGTGTGTGTGTGTGTGTGTGTGTGTGTGTGTGTGTGTGTGTGTGTGTGTGTGTGTGTTTATTCTTTCATACAGTCTATAATATACAACCTTTATCACAGCCCCTTATATCGAATACGAATCTGGATCAATTTAACAAGTGACTTGGGTCAATGCTTTCTACAGGCCATCGTCATATAGCTGGAATATTCTTCGATTGCAGTATTGGTATAATTGGGTATCATCACTATACACTGTTGTATGGAAACCACCACTTCAGCTGGTGCATAATAACATAATTGTAATAAAAGGAAAAGTGTAATTCTGTATGTACATAATTAAGACACAATTGTAAATGTACATGTCTTACAGCTAATGGTATAAATATTAGTCTGCTTAGTTTTGTTTGTATATTTGCAGATGACGTTAACATACGGAACAATCGTTGAGGATAACCCAGATATAAACATCATTGTCAAGGCTTTAAGTCTTGTCATAGCGACGGTATGTCGGATTCTTTTGTTGCGTCTTTGCGAGTGAATAAGTGAGTGAGTGAGTGGTGCTTTGAACAGTATCTCTGTTACATAACGGCGTGCGGTTTTAATTTGCGAGGGAAATCCAAGATGATGCATATCACAGACGTATACTTGAGAGCCACGATCATAAGCGCACAAATGAGGATTTACATGGGAATCAAACCCGGATCGTCAGATTTGGACACGCCTGAGAAGAGTAAATCTTCTCGGGAAAGGGGGCGGTCGGGTAGCCTGGTGGTTAAAGCGTTCGCTCGTCACGCCGAAGACCCGGGTTCAATTCCCGACATGGGTACAATGTGTTAAGCTCATTTCTGGTGTCCCCCCGCTGGAATATTGCTAAAAGCGGCGTAAAACCATGTTCACTCACTCACTCACTTCTCGTGAAAACGTGGCGTCTGTGTTCCCAAACATGATACTTGAGAATTGACTGTCTCTTTGTGTGAGCTCATTGGAGTATGAACCTTCATACAAAGTTTGGCCCTCGCTCTGTAACGGTTCCTACTCCAATAAACTCACACAAAGTGAAAGTCAATTCTTATAATTGTTTTCCACAATTTCTTACATCAAAAGATATAGGCCTAGAACTATACACAAATGTATTTAGTACGTGTAACTTCATGTTTACGCTGAGTTCAAGATTAAAGACTCTAATGGATCAGAAAGAACGCATCTCTATGTATTCGTGCTAGGGAATGCGCAGGGTCCCCCCAGGAATGTGGAAATAGTCCAATGTTTTCGTCATTTAAAGAACACGGTCACGTGAAAAACGTAGGGACATTAAACTGTGTTGTTCAACCACTCATGAACGTCACATTCTCGGTCATGCGACCGCCCACTCGTCCAGTGGAAAAGCCGTATAAACTTTAAAGTAAAAACTTATTTAGACTATATTTAACAAATCAATTACCGCCTAGCAATAAGAGGCATAATACCATATTCGCTTCCGCCCCCCCCCCCCCCCCCCCCCCTTCCATCACCCACCCCCATCCCCACTCCCCTCAACTGCACCAATGCGAGCCTTCTTCCAGTATCGAGGTGACACGTCGTGGTATTAATGAAACTCTGCTCAAAGCGTCGTTTAAAGACTTACTCACGCACTCACAGTCTCCAGGGGACTCACGGTGGTCAGAAAACAATGTCCGGACCGACGGGTCCCTCGACGCAGAAGCAGCTATTCATGACTTCAGGAGTCACCGCCGTGTGCTTGTTGAGCAGCGCGCCGCACCCCGGGGCGACCATGCCATGGCCTTCACAGGGTAAGCCTCACCCCCAGTCTGGATGTAAAGTACTTGTATTTGGTTTTCCGAGGCCAACATTAAACTGCAATGCTCAAACTAAGCCCAAATAATTCCCTTTATGGGATCCACTGTTATCTTTTCTAGGAGTTTCTTTAATATGGCAATAAGTGAATGACAGCTGTTTAACAATCTGATTTGGATGTACAGGCTACACCTGTGTGCAGGTGATGTGGCTGATTGTGTATTGCGTATGTAGCAGGGCGTGGAGTCATCCCACAGATGACATCCTCACCTTGTCAGCTTGCTGACGGGGTTAACCTCTTTGGTCATGTGGACAAGGCGTCCGACATCTGATCAGAATGTCCGTGGTTCTAATCCCATCACGCTACATTGGCGCCCAGCGTGGGGCTGAGCACGTTCATATTAGATTTGAGCAAAATAAGCCTCAGTACCCTACTATGCGGCCCGGGACGTGCCTTCTGTTGACGGGGGAGTATGTAGCAGGGCGCGGAGTTTTCCTTACCTTGTCAGCTTGCTGACGGGGTTAACCTCTTTGGTCATGTGAACAAGGCGTCCGACCTCTGATCAGAAGGCCCGTGGTTCGAATCCCCTCCCGGGACTCGGAAATGTTATGGCCGCTATACGTATGTTGTGCCATGCTATTGTTTATCTCACACAGCAGTTATATCGATGCCTCACATCTCGACTTAATAACGCGGGGAAACATAACCTCCTCTCACTATATTCTTTAATGATGTCAGTTTGCGTGCTGACGAGTGTTAGTGTTCAAGAAAGATTCATTGTATCGCTGTTGATAACTCCCTCAAACTGTGCAAGCTAATTAAATACTGAAAAACGATAACCGACTTCTCAGTAAACTTTGTGCCAATACCATGTATGGTTTTAACTGAAGGTACGACATGTGGACATCTTCATCTGGCGGATCCGTTCTAGGTAAGGCGTCATACGGAGTATGTATACTACTTGAAAAAAGAATCTGTGCTTCATATAAAGTGGTGTAAATGTTTTTGACAATAACAACATAGTATTTGGTTATGAGTCTTATCAATGTTTTATCATATGTCTCCATTAATAAGTATTTCAAAATATATGTATGATTATTGTACTTTGTATGGAGTTAGTATATCACTTGCAAATAATCACAAGTATCAAATGTTTATATGTGTGGTAAAATACCTGCGAGAATATCGAGCTTTCAAAAAGTCCTCTAAGGTGTCACTAGATCCATGTAATGTTAGAATCGTTATCAGTTGTTTCATCATCCCTGAGTGATGACATTCGTGATACATCGTATAGTCGGAACACCAGGCATTGCCTTGTCGAATACCTAACGAAAATATTGAATCCTAATAATTTATTTGTAAGTCTGATTTCCCCTTCAATCTCAGCAGTTCATGAAAACAATAATTCATAAACGTCATAAACCGACAAAGTAGGATACACTGCACCACCGTGACATCTGTGATACCTGTTGTTCCTACACACAGTTATATATATTTATGATTCATTTTTAAATCTAAAAGGTTTTTGTGTTTGTTTTCTAATAAAACGCTCGGAAGGTTATCATGTGTAGACATATCATAAGGACATATTCATCGCTTAATAAAGATATCATGTAGTAGGGACAACATATTTTCGTTATGTCAACAAAAGCAACAACATCATTTCCATAATTAAAATAAATCTCCACTGAAAGTCCATTGTATGATTACAATTATATCATTAGCATGTGTCCTGAATCACCATCCAATGATTACGAAAAGGTGAGTGTACGTAGGCCCTCCGGTCGCACCTGTCACAAACACATGCGAAGGCAAGACAATTGTTCACCCGAAAAACACATAAGAACATATGGTTCCAGTCAAATCAGGCAATTGCATTGGACATCGTTTTTGTCATTTGGAAATGTCCTCCTCCAAGCTTTGCCGAATGTTGTAACCCTGATTATACAATTTTGTAGCAAGAGCATGCGCGTTCGTATTTCAAAAGTTGTGAACTGTAGACATTAAAGGCTAGAGCTGCTGGAATATTGCTTCACATAACGGGACATTTGCTATAGTGAACGTTACATACACCCCTCTTCTCATTCCGTCTCGTGGAGAGATTATGTCACTGTGATAAAGACAAAAGCTAGTCATAATAAAGGCATCGTAGATTCTTCCCATAACGTATATGATAGTTACGTATTTAATAAGGAATGTATATATTCAATGAATGGCACAAATAAAAAAATGAGTGAGTAAATTCGGTTTTACGTGGCTTTTAGCAATATTCCAGCGGCGGGGGATACTAGAATAGTCTCCACATAGTGTACCCATATGGGGAATCGAACCCGGGTCTTCGGCGTGTCGAACGCACGCTATAACCACTTAGCTACCACACCGCCCTCTATAACAAAATTGACGCTATACATTGATCGCTTAACACAAAGGATGGTCATAGTAAGGATGCTACGTCCTCAGTGAATCGTCTTCTGTAAGCAAATAATGAAAAAAATAAAGACGTATGGGCTGAAACTTTACATGTGTCCATCACGTTTATTTCAGGTATTGCCTTCATTGGTACAGTGTGTGGATCGTTTGATGTTTCCCTTATTGAGAATCAATTCATCAGTTGGGAAGGGAAAATTGCAGCACACGAGCTTGGACATAGGTATCAATTGTTAACTTCAAATACCAACATCGTTTGTTATATAAACGACGCTGAGCTACACTGGCAAATCTTCATGTTTTAATGCACACGCTGTTACGCTTCGTACTGAAACATCTTCATGATGCTTTGTCGACTTCAACTCTTATTTGACAGACATGTGTTTCAGGTCTGTAAGTCTGTATATCTGTATTTATAACCCTAGGCATCACGCCGAAGACCCGGGTTCGAATCCCGACATGGGTACAATGTGTGAAGCCCATTTCTGGTGTGCCCCGCCGTGATATTGCTGGAATATTGCTAAAGGCGGCGTAAAACCAAACTCACTCACTTTCAGCCTGGAGAAATATAAGGGAACGCTACTGGTAACACATTCAATGCTTCCGATCCAATATATCCATAGGTAACGTATTCGCGCAATATTAATGCGGAAGGCACCCTATCCTAATTTTGTCATGCGTACGTCAACATTTAAAAGAAGAGAATTATGGGAAATCGTGTGAACATCCTGGTACTGATTTGCCCTGCTAAGAACCCTGACATTGGGCTTCGCGAGCACGAATGACTCGTAGGCCATATGGATCTGGAGCACTCCATTGCGGCTTTGCATGGGATGAGGATGGCCCGGCTCCCAAAGACTACCATCAAGGCCCTCACACAGAGCATGTCAGGCACTTGTCATGGGCCAAGAGAGACACAATTGTATTTCAAGGTCAAACCCGAGGTCGCCTCCTTGATGATGTTACTTAGCTGTTAGAGTTATGACGATTAATGTGAGACCTGTGAAGATGCGGGGTAGAATAGGTCTTCAACAACCAATGCTTGCCGTAAAAGGAGACTATGCTTGTCGTAAGAAGCGACGAACGGGTTCGGGTGGTCAGGCTTGCTGACTTGGTTGATGCAAGTCATCGTATCCCAATTGCGTGGATCGATGCTCATGCTATCACTCACTGGATTGTCTGGTCCAGACTTGATTATTTACAGACCGCCGTCATATAGCTGGAATATTACTGAGTGCGGCAAACAAACAAACAAAACATGAGAACGGAGTGTTTATTAGGCCACAACAAAACTGTCAAAACCCGGATTCCACATGTAATACTTACAGATGTAGATAGTCAAATTACCACAAACTCGGAACACAAGAACCAATCTCGCATTATTATGTAGTGGAATATTGCTGAGTGCGGCGTTACACAACCAACCATGCAACCAACCAACCAACCATTTATGTTCATTGAAATCATGTGATCCTTTACTTGTTAATATCTGCGAGATGAAATCTGTGCCAAAATCAGATCTATACCGCAACGGATCTGAATCTTCTTTTACCATTTATTGTAGCATGGGATCTGGCCATGATGGGGAGATCGGATGTCAAGATAACGACTTCTTCGTGATGGCTGCATTTGTCGTGTTGCCAAACCAAATTCCGGGTACTTTGCTGGATAACTTGTTCCGATTTTCAACATGCAGTATTGCGAAGTTTGACAGCTTCTTGAGGTAGGTCTAACTTCTTACAACGTTCTGTTACTCCTTACTGATCGCATGACTTTGCATATCAAAGTGTTGTTTGTTTTCTTCCCGTAATGATCAAGATGATATAAATTTCATTGCCGATTGTGAGGATTTGCCCGTGTTCCAACTGTGATAATGAATTCAACCAAATAACAGTCGATATCCTTGACTCTACAATATTGAAAAATCTCTGAAAGCATTAATCATTTTAAAATCATTAAGGCGTCTGGTACTGACAACTGCATCGCCGATGGTTTTCAAACATTCAACATATGTACATATTAATTTCCTACATAGATTTTATACTTAACGTCTTGTTATGTGTCCCGATATGGCAGGATATGCTCACCCTTTCGAGGACACCTGGTGTCATCACTATTTGATAGGGAGTCATAAACACCTCGTGTCATCACTATTTGATAGGGAGTCATAAACACTAGGTGTCATCACTATTTGATAGGGAGTCATAAGCACCTTGTGTCATCACTATTTGATAGGGAGACATAAGCACCTGGTGTCATCACTATTTGATAGGGAGTCATAAGCACCTGGTGTCATCACTATTTGATAGGGAGTCATAAGCACCTGGTGTCATCACTTTTTGATAGGGAGACATAAGCAGTTGCTCAGGAAATTGTGGGAATCCAATGGATTGCTGATGATCATTGTAAGAAGTTTGTCACTTTTAGGGACTCGAAATGGAGAATTTGGTATTTGGGCATGTTTGAGTTACTGACAACACTCTTTAGTACTGTTTTGTACTTACTCGTAATCATAACAGTTTTGTCATGATACACTCATTACAGGTCTGCTGCCTGTACGCGGCAGAGTTCCAGTCTTCCCGCCTTCCACCTGGGAGGTTCTGAACAGCTCTTTGATGCTGATGAACAGTGTCGGTTGTTCTTGGGGCCAGCGTCAAGGTTTTGCAGGGTAAATGTGTGTTTTGTGGTGGTTAAAGGGGCCTGTGTGTAGCCACCTCGGGTGTAGATCTTGTCAATAACTATTGAACAATTATCTTGGTGTGGCAGGACTTGTAGCAAGGAAGACAAGATATCGTGTATACCCAACGCATCCGTGACGTATACCGACCACATTATCCGAGTATGAACATGATGAATTTTGAAATATGCAACCGAAGTAGCATGGGAATATGGCGCCAGTTTCACTTTCAGCAGTACAATATATATAGATATGATAGACAAGGATAGACATGAAAATGTGTTACATGTACGTTACCTCAATATTGACAACTTGGGATCAGGACTGCTCAACACGTGTTTGGGATCTACATATAGGTAGGTAGGTAGGTAGGTAGGTAGGTAGGCATGGAATTTATATATATGTGATGCTGATGCTGATAAAACAGAAAGGAAAGCAACCTGTATGCCTCCAAGTCTGCAAAATCGATTGTTAAAACAGAATACGAAGAAATTATATTATAATTATATTGTATAATGTGATTTGTTTTGTTTTTCAGGAAGCAACATCGCAACGTGTGGATTGTTTTGAGAGCATGTGCTCCTCACTCTTATGTCTGAATCCTGCAAGTCCAACGCAGTGCCGGGAGTTCCTTCCTTTCGACGAAACCGCCTGTGGTAATGGAAAGGTGACATGTTCTTATAACGTTATCTGACATGTTGCTTGCGTGTGTTGATGGTGTTGGGTCACCATAATGTCAAGTTTCTTTCTTTGTTTAACGCCGCACTCAGCAATATTCCAGCTATATGAAACTGGTCTATAGATATTCGAGTCTGGACCAGACAATCCAGTGATGGATATCATGAGCATCGATGACATGCATCAACCAAGTCAGCGAGCCTGACCACCCGATCCCGTTACGACAAGCATAGTCACCTTTTACGACAAGCATGGGTTGCTGACAAGCATGGGTTGCTGAAGACCGTTTCTAATCCGGATCTCCACGCGTCCATTATGTCAAGTTTCGATATTCAACATAACTACACTCACATAGGAACGGTTGTTGAAGCAGGCACAGAAGCTTTGTGAGCAATCTACCCGACTTGAATATTCAATTTATTCCACAGTGACTATCCCAAAGATTCAATCAGACGTTCAACAATTTAAGCTTCTAATTAGATAGCCGTGAATTCCATGAAATATCAAAACGAATACCGTTCAAGTTTATTCTTGTTTTTCTTACAGTTTTGTGAAGCGGGAAGATGTGTGTCGCACACGAGAGCGCTGGCGACTGTTGGTGAGACTTAGTGTTAGCTAGCACGGAGCAGCGACCGTTGTAAAACTAAGTGCTGGCGAATTTGGACAAGCAGTATGATACTTGTTGACGTGTCATTCACATGAAATAGACACCACGTGTTTTGTTTTTTGTTATTTAACGCCACACTCAACAATATTCCAGATATATGACGGCGGTCTGTAAATAATCGAGGCTGGACCAGACAATCTAGTGATGAATATCATTAGCATCTATCCACGCAATCGGAACACGATGACATACATCAACCAAGTTAGCGAGCCTGACCACCCAATCCCGTTAGTCGCCTTCTACGACAAGCATAGTCGCCTTTTACGGCAAGTATGGGTTGCTGAAGACCTATTCCACCAAGGATCTTCACGGGTCAGACACCCAGTGATTTCCTCCTATACATGATAATGATTGCAAAACAAGCCTAAAAGAGTATATATGTTGATTTTGATAATTGAGTCAATGAATGACTGATCCATTTGTAATAACGATCATCATCGAAAGCGACACGAATTGGGACGATCAAAACATTTGAAATCAATAGCGATTCGCTGAATCGTTCATAAAATACCCTTTAGGTAGTTACTTTTTGCTTATTCTTTAACAGTGCGAAGGCTGAAACCGAATCAAAACGAACTAACAGTAAATGCGACCACATTACAGCTAAAAAAAAAATACAAGATGGCCGGCACGACTTGGTGACGTGGTTGGTTGCGTGTCTACATATAGCATTTCCAGTATAACCACAAACATTACAACAGCATCACGGCGCATTGCTGCTGCATAATGGTACCGTCACAACCCTCCTATCACGGAGACCCAATAGTCTAAAGTGCTCTCGGGGCGTGCCATGGCTCACTGATCGTGTGTTCGAATCTCACATTAGTCCTGGTTATGATCATAGGTTTGTCAGTTTCATACCCGTGTCAAGGTCACGGCTACGGCATCCATCACATCGGCCTTTCCTCCCACACTTAGCTGACCAGATCCCCAACAAAGGACTGGACCAAGGTTCTTAGCAACCAACAGCCATGTGCTCTCAACACAATCAAATAACGTGACGATATCCAAATGTATTGTGTGATTTCAAACGATGTAAGAGAGATAATTATTGTTTCGTTCAATTGTTAATTAGATTAGTTCGCTTTGTCAACAGACGGGTGCCCCCAAGGAGATGACCCAAGTACTCCATGTGAAGCCTCTTTATGCCCCACCTACAACGCTTGCACAAAGAACATCCTGTGTTGTCAGACCTGTAATGAACCAAATATTTGCCTACTTAATACAACTACCATCCACGACAACACCTACTCCGTCAACCACCATCATCACAATCACAACTACCACAACTACAACTTCAATAACGACTACGTTCACCACTACGACATGCCATGCTGTGACAAGACGGAAAGGCGCAGGTGAAGGCCAAATATACTTGTATGACAACTACAACTCCCGATATGCACCAAGGTGTGTCCCAGTGCAGGAGACGCTTTGTACGATGACAACTTACGCACAATGTAAAAGATATGTATAAGTCATCTAAATATTGAACTTCTCTCTTTACCGAGTTGAACTGGCACCAATGGCGTATTCCACCAACGAACGTATCCTCGTTCTTTACCATAATAGTTCAGGACAAAATTATACTTGATATATGTATAGCATCCTGCTGAAAATAGGGCTGCCCAAACTGACGTTCGCACGGAAATGACGTCATGCGCACAGAACCCTCGTGGATGAGTTCAGGCAAGTTGAGCTGAGAAGGGGTGTGAATGAAATAGGATGAATGTTTGATTAAACATATGCTCTGGATCGTTGATAAAGTGAGTGAGTGTGGTTTTAAACCGCTTCTACCAATATTCTATCACGGCGAGGGACACCAGGAATGGGCTTCAGACATTGTACCCATGTTAGGAATCGAACCCGGGTTCTTCGGCGTGACGAGCGGGCACCATGCTACCCGACTGCCCCCGTTGATAGAGACAAGCCGACATGTCTTGAACTATCACTTGAAAATAAATCTAGCGTTTTCCTTCATGGTAGTCTGTCCTCTCGTCCACACCATATCGGCGTCTGAATCCTCCCCACACGCGGCTGGCGGTCATGGCGGAAAAATGGAAAAAAGTGGGCTTGAAAATTTGTCTTAATTGTTTTGCTCCATGAAATCATCTGTTGTTTAAAAAAATGTTTGATATTAGTTTGATGATCGGCATGTACCATTGCATATTAACTATCTCATTGTTGTCTTGTATTCACGGAAGAGTGTAAAAGTTACAACACGTGGGTAGAACTTGTGATAACCTGGCATCATTGATAGTGATTCGTGGATCAACGAGTTTACATGTCATCAAGCGTGGGTGAACAGGGTACAGTTGCCGTTGACGAGAGCAGCCTCCATCAGGTGTGCACACAGTGTCATCACTCAGTGAGGAAAGAAGAAGACTTACCAACAGAAAGACTGGGGTGACGACGAAAACACAAAAGTTTACAAAGTAGACACACTTAATGGATAACAACTTCTTTAATCCTGTAAAGGCGACGTTTCGGTATGGATCCTTATACCGTTGTTAAGCAAGACTGAATGAGGAACATTGTACAGAATGTATATAGCAGGTGGGGGATTAACAGTAGAGGATTAACAGTAACAACAATTGTAGGTGTCTGGTGTTGATGTTTCACCAACGGAGGATTGAACAGTTTAATGACAATTGGTAGTCGTTTCCCATTCACTGCCTCCACGTCAACATCTGATCGCTTGATACCTGGTGAACATAGTACCGACAATAGCTAAGAAATTCAACAATATGAAACACTACAGCTGTCAATATACAGTGGAAATAACTGATGAAAAACGCGCCTCCTGTCGATATGAACAACAGCTGCTTTCTGAACTAATACAGATCCATTTAAAAAGGAAGACGTACATGTACTTTACTTCTTAATTGCACATTTTTTTTATTTCTATTGTGGTTTTGTGCTGCAATGCATTGTTCTTGATTGTACACGTGAGTCGAAGCTGATCGTGGGTTCGAATCCCTGAATTCGCCTTGGTTATGACCCTTGGCTTGTTGTCAGGACACCAGCGTGGATTTAGCATCGCTTTTGACCTTCCTGTAACATGCTGACACGCCGTAATATACTATTAATTAAAATACAGTTGTGGTACAAGTAAGTGAGTGAGGGATTTGGTTTACACGCCGCTTTGAGAAATATTCCAGTTAACTCACGGATGGTCAGCTTATATTACGTAGGAGATGTGCCCTATGTAATGCAGCTTATCAAAGCTTCCTGGCAAGTCTGCATACTGAAAAACAATTGTGGCAAAAACTGAGAACCTCATTGTAGTCTCACTAAACTCAACTCAGGGTCCACGTATGCTCAAGCTACCATAACACCAGCTGACAACCAGATATTCGAGCGCACCCATGACAAAAAATGTTGTTTGTAAAATTATCAACATGTTACACTATTTTTGCAGTGAAACTAATGTATTTTCCACACAAACATAGAGCCATTAGTTCAGGACGGTTTGCTGTGTGTGACGTTCGCTGTTATCATCAATTAATCAACATGAATTTGTCATATATTTATTTAATTAGAGAGATCACATGCGCTTTTAACTCCAGATGTGACAGAAAATGAAAGAGCAGCTCCAGGGGGAAACTAGTGCAGTCTCTTTGTGTAAATGTATCTGTATTACTGCTCGACTGCAGTATACTTACTGAAAAGCAACAGATACATGTTGTAAGAACGGAGTTTCTTTTGATCAAGCATTAAATGTTTCGTATTTTTTTCCATATATGACTGTTTTCGTTGAGCTTTGGTCTGGTAACCAGGCGCGACAGACAACTCACGAGTAGATCTTGTTGTCAGTAATGTATAACACGTGACAGATTACAACGCCGACAAAAGTGTGACCCATGCGACCGACGGTGAAAGTAAAATTATTCAATTTTCACACCACGGGATTAGACGTAAGGGACTGGCCATTTGATATTCGTTTGGGGAAATGGGGGTGGGAGTAGAGGGAGGGCGGAATTTTGTATCGAGATTAGATATTCTTTCAGCTGCACCGACAAAACCAGATATTTTGTTATTTAACACTATAAGCCTGAATTTTGTTTTAAGACAAACACCTTGCAACAATGTAATTTTGGTTGCAGGCAAATGTTTGTTCAACACTCTGAAACTTTTTTTTTAAAGAATTTACAGGACAACATATGTGACCCACCAGGAGAAAAGGAACTTTATTGGTCCTAGAATACATTTGTTCTATGACGTCATAAAGACACATTCTACCTGGATAGTTTCAGAGTATAGAGACTCGTGACTGGTATCACGAGTAGCTCCACATATTGTTTTTGTCGGCGTTGTCATATGTCACGTGTTATATTTTACTGACAACAAGAACCTATAATGGTATACTCGTGAGTAGTCTGTCGTGCCCGCCTGTTTTCGAGATCCAAGATGCCGATCGTGTATGTGCCTGAACCTATGAGATGAGGAGAGGAGACTTCAATAAAAGCAGGCGAACCCCCTGATCTTCCTTCAGTCGAGTCACAGCCATCATTGGGCAAAGACGGTCTATGAATACCATGCCATCATCCCAAGATGTCCCCGATACAGAGTGGGTGTCTGAAAAGGTGAGAGAACAAGGGAGAAAAAAACACACTCTTTATGGATGACACATGGCAACTCGATGACATTCTGGAGGCACGACCTTCTCCTTCTTACACCTTGAGTCATCCTTCTCTGAGGTCTTTTCAAACGTGGCCCAAACAGATGACTCAGACCCCTTATGGCATGGCCATGGCTGGCTATTTCTATCAAGGACGAGGTGACTGTGTTATCTGTTATTGCTGCGGTGTGACACTCTGCCAATGGGAAGCCACAGACAAACCCTGGAAAGACCATCTGAAGCACGCCAAAGTCCCCTGCGAATACTTGTGTGTGTTTTGTCCTGATGGAGAAGTGAACGAGAGTCGAGTGTCTTGTTCACTCCTTGTGACAAAGTTTCCTGTTCACAAAAATCAAAGGGACGCCCCTCATCCTGAGACTTTTGTTTTGTTGGTTCATGTGAGTGGGGATTAAAAAGATGAACAAAATAGTTGTTGTGTTGTCTTTGGGATGAGGATTGGCATACACATGCGAGGGAAACACAGGATCGATATGCACACCCAAGACGCTTGGGTTGTCGACCCATCAGAACGGATGATCAATGATTTCGTAGCGGGCTTCGTGTTTTTCTTCTCCTTCTCCTTCTTCTTCTTCTCCAAACGGCCCTTTTCAGGGCCACCCATCTCTCCCGAAAGATCACTTTCATCTTTGGTTTGACCACCATCTCCACCATCACCACCCACAAAAGAAAACAAAGAACCCACCCTCCTCCTCCTCTTCCCACCTTCCCGCCTTCTCACCTTTCCCGCCTTCTCCTCCGGCCTTCCCGCCTTCTCACTTTTCCCGCCTTCCCGCCACCCTCTTGGATGGGGGGATGCCCCCTCGGAACCGGACGTGTCGTCCTCTTGGTGGCGCACGCCTCCCCAGAACCGGAAGTGCCCTCAATGCCCTCTTCGCGCATGCGCAGAACCACTTCCGGTTTTGTAGCGCTGCTTACAACTACTTACGTGAACTGGAATATTTCTCAAAGCGACGTTTAAACCAAATCACTCACTACAACAACTGTATCTTAGTTAATTATATATTACGGCGTCTTCTTCTTTGTACATGTGCATGTGTTTACTGATAACACACACTCAGCGGATAATGGAATCTTAATGAATTAAAAATACTGAACAACATAATTTCCTGTGAGATTGAATAAGATTTAATGAAAAGTTGTGTTTTTTACCAAATCTGAAACAATTTCGGTTTGCAACAGATAAAAGACTTCTGTAAGTGTTCAAATGGCTTAATTTGCCATACTGACTTCAGAAAATGCGTGATTTCATAAAACAAAACATGAACATGCCAAAATCTCAATTTACAAATCAATATCGTGTGTGTCCACCTCTGGTTGCGATGCAAGCAACGCATCTTCGTCTCATGGAATGGACTAGGCGTCGCACAAAGTCCTGTGCGATATCTGTCCACATCTGCTGGAGCATGTTTCAAAGTTCCTGGAGTGTCTGTGGAACACGTGTTGACGTCGAAGGCGCCGATCCATCTCATCCCACATGTGCTCGATTGGTGAGAGATCAGGGGAGCGAGCCGGCCAGGGGATGACATTCGCGTTGTTTTGTTGAAGAGAATCCTAAACAAGTCGAGCAATATAAGGCCGGGCGTTGTCATGTTGAAATGTAATGCCTGGGCCATGACGACGCAAAAACGGTAGAACAACAGGGCCGATGATCTCGTCGCGGTAGCGCTGTCCATTGAGATTTCCTTCTACCAATATCAAACGTGTCCTCTGTCTTGCTGTAATCCCACCCCATACCATCGCTGTAGCTAAGGTGAAAAGGAGACTCGTCAGTGAATAGAAGTCCCCACTACATGGCCGTCCAGCGTAGACTCAGTCTGCACCACTGTAGACGTGCTTGACGATGGTTACCTGTCAAAATGGGACGTCTAGATCTGGCGGGTCTTCTGGCGACAATCCCTGCAAATCTGAGGCGGCGACGTACGGTTTGTGAAGATATTCGTCGAAGGCCAGGGATGCTTCTTGCAGTCACTGTTGCTGGCTGGAATCGATTTCGTAAGTGTGTGGTCGAATCCAGTTGTCTTGTTGATTGTTGGTTACTCGTGGCCTGCCACTCCGAGGATGGTCTCTGACTGCATTCGTCTGTTGCCAACGTTGCCATAAACCCCAAATGGTGTTTCTGTGGACGTTAAATTGTCTTGCAACATCACGTTGACTCGATCCTTTGATGCTTCAAGCATACCAATGGCTCGCAGACGCTCATTTTCGAACAGGCGTGGCATTTCGTAATGTTATATAATTCCGTAATTTTGTTCATTTTCTGAGTGGTTGTTGTCAGCACGAC